CGCAAAGTGCTTCTCTTACAGGTTTGACAGAGAAAAAAATGGGCTTTTTTTGCATGTCACGCCTTTCTATTTCATTATCATTTGTGAACTGGTTGTCTGTGTTTCACCTTAGTGCGATCCCTGCCCTCTGGTTCACAATTACCACTGGCTCATGTCTATTTTGTCAGCTAACTGTTGTGCACTGACTGGTGCTCTATGATGTACTCCTCTGAACACAGAATGGTGAGGTTATACACCTGGACTAGGTACGAGTCTGCAGGCTGGGGGAAGAGAATGAGGATGCGTTTGATCACCTGTTACATTTGTGAAGTCTGCAGTGGCAGTTTCTGTAATGTAATACACAAAGATCTAATAGCGTTATTTAACTCTGTGTATCAACAGTCTAACTGGCACTGCTGTACCAGCATGTTACACTTATGAGTACTGTGTAATAACTGGTTTAATGTGCAGTACGTGACAACATTTAAGCTACTCTAAGTATCATTTTTGCACATTTTGATCCAGTTTCTTGTAGCATCCGATTCCCAACAAGAGGATGGAGCGGGACCGGGTTGCATGATATATAGCTTTGTATCTGTCCTCAGTGGATCTGAAATATTACAAGAGTCAGAGAAAACGACAAGCATCTATTTCCCAAGGCTTCTTGCACAACCTACTAATACACTACTTCAGCTCACAAAGACTTTTACTTACTCAGCCAGCAAAGACTTCCTGTTCCCAAATTTTCTGCAAACCTCCACATTACAAACTGTGCATCTAAATTGATGAGAAACAGTAACAGTGACGATAAAAGTGATTTGATTTTATTTGAAACCTCGTAGAAACCAAATTATTTCAACATGAAGAACTTGTACTTACCATGTTCAGTGCAACAAAGGATGCCGTTTTAATAGCCACGACCACAGCAGGCCAAAGCTCTTTAACATTTTCATTCTGGACATCAGTGACAGGAACTACCAGTGAAAATGCCATGCTTGTCTCAAACTGCAAAGTTGCTGACAACTACTTGAAACATGAGCTACTTTAGCTCAGGAAGAGTTTTAATTAACACTATTAATTATAACTTTGCACCAGAGCCAACTTTGGCTCTAGTTGGTGTTTTGTTTGGAACAACTTCATTTTGTCCTTTCATTTTCATCAGAATCAGAATCAGAATCAGAAT